TTCATGCCTGGAATGCTCTCCCTCCATATCTCTACCTCTTGGCTTCCCTGGCTTCCTTCCTTCAAGGCCCAGCTAAAACCTCACCTTCTACGAGAAGCCTTTCCCAACCCCCCATAATGCTGGTATCTCCCCTCTGTTGACTATCTCCAATTTATCCTGTACAGAGCTTGTTTGTACACAGTTGTTTACATGTGACCTCCCCCACTAAACTGTGAGATCCTCAAGAACTGGGGCTGGCTTCTGCTTTTCTTTGTATCCCAAACACTTAGCACAGTTCCTAGCACACAAGTGTATACTAAATGCCTATTGATTAATTGAAAGGGGGAATTCTACCTAGGAAATTGCTCTCTGGCTGAGGTTCATAGGATCCTAGGATTCAGAGTAAAAGGGACTTTTGAGATCACCTAGTCTAATCCTTATATTGCTAATTGTAACTCCTAATTGGTGGTGGTGGGGTTTTGATACTGGATCTAATGTCAGGGAAAACTGATTTCCAATCCTCCTTCAAACACATATTAGCTGTGTAACCCTGAACAAATCATTTAACCCCTCTGAGGCTCAGTTTCCTTATCTGTAAAAGGAGACTATGAATAGTAGTCTGTTGTGAGCATCAAATGTATGTAAATCGCTCTGCAAACCTTAACTGCTATGTTTGTTCAGTTGTGTACAACTCTTCCTGATTCCATTTGGGGTTTTCTTAACAAAGATACTGGAGTGGTTTGCCATTTCCTTCTCTAGATTATTTTACAGATGAGGAACTGAAGCAGACAGGGTAAAGCGACTTACCCAGGGTCACACAATTAATGTATGTCTGAGGCCAAATTTGAACTCAGGAAGATGTCTTTCTGATTCCAGGCCCAGCACTCTATCCACTGTGCCTCCCAGCAAACTTTAAAATGCTACATAAATATCAGATGTTATTATTAACCACTAGTTAATTGCCACCTCTGTTCTCCAGGGGAAAAAAAATGCAAAGCATGACTCAAGTGAAGACGTTAAAAGAAATCCATTCCATATATACCTCTGAAAAAGGGCAAAAAAGACACTACCCCTTTCTATCTTTTCATCATAATTTCTACCTCAGCTCAGGGGATTGAACAAAATAATCTTCTTGGCTTGTGAAGTTACACAAATCTTATGACACACCAATAAAAGGGAAAAAAATGAATTTGGGAATTAAACTGAATGAAAAATTCCCAAATTTCCTTTAAAAATGAATATGTTCCATAGAGCTCACAGAGGAACTAAGCTGTTGGTGCATCATAACAGAAGTATGAGTGATATAATAGAATTAGTGCTCTCACCAAAGTATTTTCTACTATCTTGTGTGAAGTCATCTAGGAGGTTCAGGGCTACTCCTTCTACCCTATAGCTTTTGCAAACTCCCACGTAAGCCTTCTGACTGATTCTACTACATCCCTCCCCACATCTCCCACACCTTCCTCCCTTCCCCCTACCTGTGTATGGTGGATTATCACAGGGCAATAGCTAATACATAGAATAGATAGGCCTCAAGGTGCAGGTTCCCCACCCCTGGACTAGAGAAAGAGGGAGCTAGGTGGCCCAGTGGATAGAGTGCTGGCCTGGAGTCAGGAAAACCTGAGTTTTCCAGCCTCACTTATAAGCTATGTAACCCTGGGGTAAGTCACTTAACCCTGTTTGCCTCAGTTCCTCATCTGTAAAAAATGAGCTGGAGAAGGAACCACTCTAGTGTCTCTGCCAAGAAAACTCCAAATGGGGTCACAGAGAGTTGGACTCCACTGAAAAATAACTTGACAACAAGAAGCCTGGAGAAGCCCTAAAGGCAAATAAATGAATTCTGCTTAAGCAGTCTGAATACTTTTTAGACTCCTAAATGAACCGCTGAAGGAAAACATGTAAATGTCTGCTTATACAGATACAAAGCACATATGTGTGTGTGTGTGTGTGTGCTTACATGGGAATATAGTTCCCCTAAAGTAGCTCTTTTCACAAAAGCATTTTTTTTTCCTCTCAGAGCCAAAATAAATCAGGCTCATAAGTGGAGGAAAAAGGAGTCTTTAATCAGGATAACAGGATAACAAGCCTGAAGCCCTGGGGTCACCCACGTCTGAATACATGGATGTCCAACATGGAAACTTACAGGAAAGGTTATTATACTTTCAGGAGGAAAGGAAGAGGTGGTCATATGAGGTAGTGAGGCCTGACCATGAGACGCCATCCACCCTTAGCAAACTGGGCAAGGAAACCCACTGGTTTTTACCCTTCATGATCTAAAGCCCCTCCCAATAAAAGGAAAAGGACATTAGATGCTAAGATTCAGCTCAAGTTGGGTTTATTTACAAGGTAAGGGTCATGGCTCAGGGTGGGGTTCAACCTAATCAAGAGTACATACCAGAAGAGTAGGAATACCAGGACATTACTAGAATTCGGTCATTACTAGGATTATTTAAAGGGAGTGGCAGGTAATAGATTAATGTTCTTTGACATTAACTATATTTCTGTCAGTCTTCAAAAGTGATATAGATCCCCACAACCCAGTCCACTGAGAAGCAACCTGTCCCATTTATCCATGCTCACCCCATCAATGGTTTAGGAAAGGGTCTGCAAACAGGAGGAACACCCATCTCACCTGAAGGGGGTGCTGGAACAACAAAGGCCTTCAGCTGAACGTCGTTTTGGGGTAAAGTGATCAGTACATTGTCTCCAGCAAACACCGTGAGTTCTTTGACTGTAAGTTAATTACAAAGAATATGTGAACAGCACATTAAAAATCACCCAGTCTTCAGCACAGTGTACAGAGCAGTAAGCACACAGTAGGTACTTAATACATGTTGACTGACTGATGGACTGGCCCAAAGAAAATCAGACTATAATCATTTAAACATACAAACACACTCATTTATTTCTCCATCCATGCCAATTGTGATAGGTATTATTTTACTTTTTTAATGTAAGGTACAAATATGACTGAAATATAAAACCATATGTGTTTCTCAAGCTCCAAACATATGTGTTTCTCAAGCTCCAAAGTGGCAATAACTTTGTGAATTAAAAAAAAAAAACCCTGAATTAGCAAGTCAGAGAATCTGATTCAAATCCTGTTGATGGGGTATGGCCCAAGCTGAGACCTTTGCCCCTTACCCCAAAAAAGGAATTTAGGTCCCATTTGTCTATGGGATTCTCCTTGAATTCTCCCACTTGATCAAGGAAGTCTCTGGTATTCCCCTGAGGCTATAATCCTATCAACTGGCCTTCCATTATTGCCATCTCCCAATTCTCTGTTACCCTTAACCTAGCCTAGCCCTCCATTGTCTATTACCAGAGGATGGCCCAGACCCTTTCCCATCCTTGATCATATCCATTCTACATCCCAGTCACCCCCATCAAGATTTTCCACTCCTGGATCCCTCCCCCATCTGGATATAAGATTCATCTTGTCTCCATTTAGGCGCTCAGATTCCTTAAGAACCTAACCAAGGGCTCAGATTTTTACAATCTAGCCAGTAGCTTACAAATGTTCAGATTCCTTAAGAGTCTGGCCAATATGGCAGATCTTTAAAAAGCCTTGTCTTTTACCGAAAGAAGAGTTGGGTCAAATTCTTTTGGGCAAGAACCGTGTCTCTTGCTCTTGATATTTTGGGGTCCTAGCACCCCTAAAGCTCAACATATGGTAGGATACATATATGACTGAAATATAAAAACATTAAGATTTCCTGTGGGTTTCTCAAGCTCCAAAGTGGCAAGAATTTTGTGAATTAAAATCAGACAACCTGAATTAGCAATTCAGAGAATCTGGTTCAAATCCTGTCTTGCCTGACCTCAGGCAAGTTGCTTCACTTCTCTAGGTCTCAGTTTCCTTGTCTGTAAAATGAGGTGATAGCACTAAATGACCTCTGAGAGCCTGCCTAGTAGACAGAGTGCCAGAATAGGGAGAAAGATCAAACTCTGAGTCTCCCCTCAGCCTCTTACTAGTTGAGGGATCTTGGGCAAGTCTCTCTATGCCTCAGTTTCCTCATCTTCAAAAAGATGGTGTTACATTCAATTACCTCTAAGGTCTCTTCCAGCTCTAAATCTGTGATTCTATGGTCCCTTCCATTCTATGATCCCATGTCCCCTAAGCAGAGTAAGGGAGGGATTAGATATTTAGAATTTAGAATTCTGGTTTACCAGCACTTAAATAGGTGGCTCAGTAAATAGAGCACTGAGCCTTCAGGCAGGAAGACCTGAGTTCAAATTTGACCTCAGATACTTACTAGCTTTGTGACCTTGGGCAAGTTACTTAATCCTGTTTCCCTCAGTTTCCCCATCTATAAAATGAGCTGGAGAAGGAAATGGCAAACCAATCCAGTATCTTTGCCATGAAAACCTCAAATGGGGTCACGAAGAGTCGGACACACTGAACAATAACAACTAACTGGTGAGGCACTGCAAATTCAAGGTGGTGTTTCTTCTACCACGGGATTTTCCCCTACCCCATCCCCACATGTGCCAAATAGAAGGCTCATTGCAGTCATATATAAGGCTTATTGCAACTGTGTTTGCTCCTGTATTATTAGTCAAATATCACTCAGTCTCCTGAGAGTGAATGACCTTGTGAATCTTTGATAATGGCCCTCTTCTTAGAAAGTTTCCAAAACAAAACCCAGTCAAAATCAAAGCAAAAAAAGGCTATTCTAGCCAGACTAACAAAAACTGCCCCATTACCCAAAGCAAGTAGTTGCTGGATCAGCACTTAAAGCAATACTTGTTCACCTTCTTTCTAACTAGGATACTGTTCATTCATTCAAGCAATGTTCCATTTGGCAGGACTGATTTATCCTTAGGTTCACTCATAAAATTTAAGTGGGATCAAGATAGCATGCATGTGCAACACAGAAGCATGGGCAGTCCAGAGATTCTCACTGCTTGGAGGGGATGGGATTCACCACATCTGGTTCAGGAAGCAGCTAAACATTGCTTCCCAACTCTTAACAAGCACTTTATGTGCTTTCCAAAGATCCAACAACAGTTGTCTCACAAGGGAAGCACATAGCTGTCTTTATTGTTAACTGTTTATTTATAAGATGGACACTTTAGCGAATGAAGGTATCTTAGATATCAAGCCCCAGACACTCATTTTATAGATGGAGAAATTAAGGCTTGTAAGAATCAAGTGACTTGCCCAAGTGGAAGTGCTTGCAAAACCAGTACTAGGACCTATGCTTTCTCATTTCTCTAATTAAATTATAACTCCCTCTCTTTATTATTAGTCCTTCTACTGAAGTTCAAGAATAAGCAAGGTCAGAGAGTATTCCCAAATTTCACAGTCTATCAGAATGCACCCAAAATATGGTCCATGATAGCCATGGCCTTCAGTATATCTTTTCCAGTCTTTTTTTTTTTTTCCCTATAAGTTACCTGTACTTGGAGCAGTGGTGGGAGAGGTGATCTGCTCAGTTAGGGTGGACTGAGAGGGGCCAGTGTCAGTGGGAAACACTTCAATCCCATGATCTGAGTTCTGCTGGGTTACTGTTAGAATTGGGCTTTTCTCCACGATGGTTGGACTGAACTCCAGGTTGGCTGAAGGAGGATTATGGGAAGGCATTAGAACCTATGAGATCAATCATAGGGATAAATTATTATGAATAAACCAGTTGAAAATAAGCACACAGCACAATGGCACCTACCTTTTCTGTAAAATGTGCTCACTTAACCATTATGTAAAATGTCAAAGACTGGAACCCCAGACCGTCTCTTTTAATAATAACAAAAACACATTTAAACACTGCTTTAAGGTTTGCAAAATTTTTCCTTGCAACAACCCTGTGATGTAGGTAGTACAAGTATTATTACAAGTACAAGTGTGTTGCATAGATGGCATAATAAACGATAGGTAAAGGGGGAATCTCCACAAAGAGGAAAGAAAGCACAATTCTGATGACCCTTGGAGTTACCATTATGACAATAGTTGAAAATTATGCAAATGACTTAGGACTGGCCAAAGAGACCTCTTAGGTGTATAGTCTCCATTCCAATCATAATATGCAAAGTGCATCCCAAAATGCTTCTACAGAATTAAATTTAAAAGTTTAAAACCTACAGGAGGAAGGAGGAAATTAAGTATGATAACCAAGCAAGGAAAAACAGTATGGCATAATAGATTGTGTGCTGTACTTGGGAGATTGGAAGACCTGAGATCAAATTCGTCCTCTGATCCTCAATGGCTATGAATGAATATAGGAACTCCCTAAGACTTTATTTACTAAGTTATAGGTGGCATCAAATGCTGCTGGTTTAGGGAGTTCCCACCATGTATGTCAAGAAGAAAAAGTATTTTAATATTTTAAAATGGAGGTGGGAAGAAGCCTTTTCCATCAGCCAGATTGTTTAAAAGTGTGTAAAATGGTGAATCAAAGTAGTTTGAGGAACCCACTAAGAGAGAAATAAGTTCAAGAGAGACAGTGGAATTGTATAAAAACATGGCTTAACTTTTCTATTGTTGGGGGGAAAAAAGTAAGACATTGCTGAACGTTCTGAAATTTGGAAACTGGAGACTCAGCACCATCTTCCATTAATATTTCCCAAGTAACTCCCCAAGACACCGCCTCAGCACCCAGGCTATTTGGGAAGGCCACCTGTAGGGAAGTTCAGTGCTCTAAGCAAAAATAAATAAATAAATAAAACCACAGTAAAAGTCTTCAATGGAGTACAGATGTTACTGGTCAATTTCACGTAGTGGGCTTTTTCTATGAATTCTAGCGGCTTCTTGACTTGTCCGTCACAATCTATCTTAACTACAGTCATATCCATGCTGTGGATTTAGAGTCAGAAAAACCTGGGTCTGTAATTCCCCCTCAGAAAATTACTGGCTGTGTGACCCTGGGCAAGTTATTTCACTGTCTCCAAGATTTTGTTTCCTCATCTTACAAATGAGGATAAAACAGCTACCTCACATGGTTGTGAAGATCAAATGACATAATTTACATAAAACATTTTGTAAACATTAATATATAAATGCAAGCTATTATTATATGTCCAAACTTAATTAACATGTATAAATATATTTGTGTATACATAATTATTGTGGCTACATATATTTGTATGTATATATGTACATGAAATATATGCACATGATATACATATATACAAATTCACATATATACATACATATCATATATAAGATGTATCAGTCAAGGAGCAAAAATTAAAATTGGCCTGATAGCCTGGTTATTTTTAAAAGCTAAAGATGTGATACAATGTGCATTTTTTTAACTTCAAAAATATCTTATTGATAATTATAAACAAAATCCTGGTGAATTTTTTCTAACCTTGCTTTATCTTCTTCTCACTTCTATTTACTTGTAGGATACCTTCCTTTCTTATCCTTCCAAATTGTATTCTGGGAGACTGAGTCATGTCCCTTCTGTTTTCTCTTTTACTTTTTCCCCACTAAACTTTTAACTGCATTTCATTCTTAAGCTCAACAACCTAATTTTATTCTTACTATACAATGTCTCAAAAGGGACAGCTAGGTGGCGCAGTGGATAGAGCACCAGCCCTGGAATCAGGAGGACCTGAGTTCAAATTTGGTCTCAGACCAGACACTTGATACTTACTAGCTGTGTGACCCTGGGCAAGTCACTTAACCCCAATTGCCTAGAAAAAAAAAAGTCTTAAGCATGTGTGTATATAAATATAATAATAGCTGACATTTACATAACATTTATGATACACCAGATATTGTACTGATCACTTTAAAATTAATTATCCTCACAACAACCCTGGCAGGTAGGTGCTATTATTATCCCCATTTTATAGAGGAGGAAACTGAGACAAAA